CACCTACATACTGGGTATTGGAGATAGGTGTGCTTCAAGTGAAAATCCACATAAGTTTTTATTTGTTTGTCGTGTAAACTTAATTTTCCATGTAATTTCTCTGAATGTGTTTAAAATAGATGAAGCAGTTTATTAACTTTTTTGGTTTGCAGGCATCTTGACAATCTTCTACTCAGAGATGATGGCAGGCTTTTTCATGTTGATTTTGGTTTCATTTTAGGTAAAGATCCAAAGCCCTTTCCGCCGCCTATGAAACTTTGCAAAGAAATGGTAGAAGCTATGGGTGGAGCAGAAAGGTATTCCTTTCTTTATGTAGCACCTGTTTTTTTTTTTTCAGTAAGAATTTATTCCTATTATTAGTACAAATATAATGCTCTTTCTTAGGGATGTAAAAGAATCAAATGTTTTCTACTCTGTATTTGATTTATGATTTGAATTTGTTTATCTACAGATTAAAATTGAAAAGCAGAATATGAATACTACTTGAGAACACAATTAAGTATATCAACTTTACTGTAGTTTATCTGCATGCACACACACATTAAAGAAATATATATAATCCATATTAAGTCGTAGTAAAAAAAAGCAAACTATTTTATATAAAGTTTGCGTGTTTATTTTCTTGTGTAGCACAAGTCTAGGACATGTTATAATGATGTTGGCTCTAGCTATAGCCGTAGCCAATATGGAGATAGGAGTAGTAGGTGAAATTACACTGGGCCTAAATTTAATAACACTACGGTAGCATTATTTATTTTTACTCCCTAAGGTGTTAAGCTAAACTGCACTGGGCCAAGGCTCAGCATCTGCCATTGGCTCTAGCTCTACACATGGATCCGATTTTCGGATTTTGTATGAAAATTTTAGATTTGCATAATTTTTAATATTGATATCAGAATCGATCCAATGGCATTTGGATATTAAGAAGATATTATGGTATTCAAATAATTAAATAATACGTAGTACAAAAAAGTATAAACCATTATTTGAGTAATAAAATACTATGAATAAAATATCATGAAAATCAAATAGGTTGGATTCAATATCATTGTTACTGTGAATAAATACATCTCCTGGGTAGATACAGCAACCCTATGCTTATTGTTTGAAACCCTGTGTTCTTCTTGACTTGCAGCCAGTACTATACCAGGTTCAAATCCTATTGCTGTGAAGCTTACAATATCCTCCGGAAATCAAGCAACTTAATATTGAACTTGTTTCATCTAATGGCGGGTTCCAATATCCCAGACATAGCATCTGATCCTGAAAAAGGCATTCTTAAGGTGTTGCCTTCTTCCAATTCACCTGTCATTTATTGTTTGTGAAATTCAGTATTGCACCTCATGTTTACCCTAATAACTTTGCACCAAATGTTTTATTTTCTTTGACATTGTGTCATGAGTGGGGGTGCACGTTAAAATATTGGGGGTTAACATATGACGCAAACGCCAAATTTTTGTTAGACTTGTCACCTCATGCTTACCTTGCCTCTCTATATCTGAGTTCTCATCCAAAGTAAAATGAAATAAAAATGTGGGATGCAATCAAGGTTGTTAAACTCGAGATCCTAGCACGGATCGGACGGGGTCTAGGAGATCGTAACTCGGGGATCGTAACTCGGATCGTAAGATCCTACCATGCAATATAATATTATATATATACATATATCATACACACACACATATATACACATATATATACAATTTAATTCTATGTAAACACTGAATTAATTAATATTAATAATAATAAAAATATAATGTCAAGCACAACACTCAAGGCAATAATATAAAACACTTAACATAACAAATAATATTCTTAGTAATCTTACTAAAGTGGCTTTATTAAAGTGGACTACAGTCTACAGAAGCGGACGATTTTAATAAATGAAGACAAGTTGTTCTGTAACGAAGGTCCACAGACCCTTTGAAGTCTTAGTAAAGTGGACTACGTTTGCAACTAAGGCGGACGACAGGGAATAGGGAACGAAGGTCTCTATATTTTAATAAGGTCGACGGCTGATGTAAAACCGATGAAGTAGGAGATTAACGTTGCAAATGGCGCTTGGCCTTCGCTCATCTAAAGTCGCTGTATTTAATTTATTTTTTTCAAACTCGCCGTTCCAGACTTCATCGCACCCTTCGTTTCCCGTTTTTTGAACTGAGAAGACGCAGCTCGTGAAGATCGGCGAGTCGTACGATTTACGACTTTACCCGACGATCCGGCGATCCCAGGACGATTTGCGATCTTTGTAGCGATCCAACTCGATTCTCCCTCTTCTGATCGTAAACTCGTGCAATCCTACGAGTTGGATCGCGATCCTAACAACCTTGGATGCAATGTAAAATATTAGGATAGACATGGGGGGGGGGGGGTGGATGCCAAATTTAATCCTTGCTTATGTTTTTCTTTTCTTTTCCTTCTTTCTGACCTGAGACTGAGTGAGTTCTCTTATACATATAGCTTCAAGAGAAGTTCCGGTTAGATCTGGACGACGAGGAATGCATACATTTCTTCCAGGACCTCATCAACGAGAGTGTTAGTGCATTATTTCCACAAATGGTTGAAACGATCCACCGCTGGGCCCAGTATTGGCGGTAATGTATGTATGACATGATAAAACTAAGAATACGGAGGAATATTGATCAGGTTTCTACAAAAACAGTCATGTCTATATAACTTCAATAGAATGGAAGTTACAATCTGCTGAAAGGGAACTGTTTAGCATATGAATGATCTTCACAGAGGTGAACACTGCCTCTTATACTCCTTGAGGCTGGCTGCTAAGTGTACATACAGTCATACACATGATGATGCATCATAGAAGCTGTATTTAAGGGTGTGTAACCTTTTGCTCTTTTGTTTCTATGCCACTAACATTGACATGGCTCTGTACAAATGTATATAACCTTTATTGCCCATCAAATTCTACACGCTTTGTTTGAAATATGATGTGGATTATGATGCAATTAGCTCATTATCAGGATTTCATTATCAATAGCCGGTTTGAAAAAATTGTTCGACTTCCACTGAATGCCTGAATTGCAGGTTAGAGCCTGTTTAGTAATTAGTTGAGCAGTATATAAACTCTAAAGGGTTGTTTTGTACCATGAGAAGTATAATTGGAATCGAACATTTTCTATTGTTTGGTTCATGCTTTGACCCAGGCAAATTGATTTAGATCATTAGTTTAACACTTTAATATTTGTGTGAGCAATTTAAGTGTTGTGCTTTTGCATTTTTGCATTCTCATTTGTGATTCCTACTAAATGTTCAGTGCCTATGAAATTCCGAATTTGCAAATTGCGAGTTGGTTAAGTACTTAATTATGCTAACCTAATCATCGTCTGCAACTCTACTGGTATACACCGTAGGGAATATAATTGGCTAATAATGCAGCGTAATTAACTATCTTGAGTAACGTGAAGGCTTGTTTTTTGTTGAGGATGCATCACACGTGCATGGAACAGTGACCATGAAATTGAAGTGTTGGACTATTACAATAGCATTTTCTCTTTGGATTGTTCCGATTATTATGATATTATCTATCCGTTATTCAGTATAAAGGACTTCGTGGAGAGTTTAGACACTGTCTCTTTGTGGATTGAATCAACTTAGAATTATCTTTGGATTAGATCTATTTGGGCTGTCAATAAGATTATCAACACAGTATATATGTAGTATTTTTTGGGTCCGATCACTTGATAATAAATGGAGTATTTCTTTCGATTCAAAAATTGACACACGATTTACTTCTAGCACATATTTCAAGAAAAACAAATTTGTCCAAAATTCTAACTACTTCAAACTTCAAAGTTAAAACTTAATAAACAATAAATGGTTTCAATTTCATCGAAACATAAATTTTAAAATCCGAACACTATTTTGGAAATATGTTCTTTTTAGGAACTACAGTTAAGAAAACCCTAGCCGCGACCGCATGGCTCTGCCTCCACCACGTGGAAGCAAGGACGACGGAAACATGTTCGTTTGACCTCGTCCTTCCACCTTTTCATCGGTACATTGAGGATGACAACATATGTGGTTGTTCGCACCCCAAAGTCAGGCAAATATAGAACAAAAGATGAGATTAAGGTCGACGGTGATGCAGGTGAACGGCGTCAAAGAAAAGATCTGATTCTGAATTGTTACCTTGATCCAAAGGTGGAATCTTCCACCCCCGAAGCCCCCCACACCCCGACCTGACAGGGGCAGATGGGAGGATGTAAATCACGGTGACTCAGTCGGCAGAGTAGCAGTAGGCCCATATGCCCGTGCGCGCAGAGGTCCAGCCCATTTCAGAGGTTGTGGCCTCCACACGGTCGCTGCGGGGACTCGAACCTGGATTCCTTGATCCAATTTTCCACCACTCAACCAACTGAGCTACCCTGTTTGGGTTTCTGAATTGTTACCAACGTGAGGCAAGGACGACGACGAAGGTTAGGGCAGCCGAATCAGCGACGATTTGTTGTCTCTGTGTCTGCTCGATGAGTCAATCGTTGATGCAGGGAGAAACCGAGAACTTGGAAGCTGGGAGTTTTGACGCAGCGAACAAGTCCGGGGATAGATAGGCAGTTACGGTTCCATGGCATCAAAGTCAATTCAAACCATTTTCAGTCACTTTTTTTGTCCAGACAGAATTTAGTCTAATTTTTGTCTTTCCATAAGTTGGAAAGACTTATTTTTGTCATTCTTTCATTTTTTGTCTTATATGTACTCCCTCCGTCCCATTTAAAGGTTCTCCTACACTATTCTCCGGTCAACGTTCATTGTTCATAATCTTTTACTTTATATATCAAAAGTTTATGAAATTTAAATTTTTTTTGCAGGTTTTGTAGCGATTTTAATGTATTTTCTGAATATGTAAATTTTATTTACTAAAAATAATTTTATTAATAATAGGGATCAATTAATTTTATGATCAATCAAACATCGTAAATCGTGTGGGAACCTCAAAGTGGGACGGAGGGTGTAGTATTTTTTGGGTCTGATATTATTGTAAGTTACAATTTATGAACTTGTACATTACTACTTTTTCAACCATAAAACCACAACTATGCATGTGATAAATTTATCTAAAAATATTAAAATTATGTCAAATTCGAATGTCTAGATGACTAGAGGGCGGAGGGCCTATCGCGTACATGAAACAACCAACGGTAGATCATCATTAGCATTCCACAACCGCTGAACGGGTTGGTATTACCGTAAATAAAAACGAATATGAAATGGCAACGCTGTAATTTTACCTCACCCGTCTTTCTTTTATTTATTGCTTCTGCTTTCCACGATCTCATCTCCTTCAGTACAGTGCGTTGATCTCTGGCTTCATTTCTCCCTTCATCTCTCTCTCTAGATCCCTCTTCCACAAGCTTTTCTAAGGTAAAATTCCTTGATACATGCCTTGAATCGTACGCATTTCTGATCGACTTCGTGTTTTTGCGAAAGTTATTGCTGCTTAGTATGTTCTGTTTTTCTCTGAGAAAGTTGCGATTTTCGTTTGATGCCGAAGGTGTTTGTGTTTTGATTTTTTGGATTAGGTTGCGCGATGAGTTCCGTTTAGATAGTTCTAGTGTTATTTGGAAATCGTTTTCTTAAAAAAGCTGATATCTTTTTGTTTTTATCACAAATGAGCTTGATTTGAGGGTGTTCGTTTCAGATTTAGAGGTTTGTGATTACCATTAAAAATTCTCTCTATAACTTGTATTGAATTTTTTATTTTTATATCCCGATCTAGCGATTGATATGTGAATATGATGCGCGATCTATTTGTGTAACTAGATCACATTTGCGTAACTACTTGTGAAAGTATGAATTTGAGATAGGGATCGAGCAAGGTTGATTCTCTGGTCGCTGAAATGTACACTCGTTAATTTTGTTTCCTGTTGTTCAGATCCATGCCTTGCTTCTATTTTTCACCAAATCGTTTGCATTTTATATCCTTGATGTGACAATACAGGCGGGGGTTTGGTTTCATCATTTGATCCGGTTTTGTGGTTTGATGTGATGATTTACAGGGATCATCAGCAAAAAAAAGGACAAATGGGGCTCACGTTCACTAAGCTCTTCAGCAGGCTTTTTGCCAAGAAGGAGATGCGCATTCTGATGGTTGGTCTCGATGCAGCTGGTAAGACAACTATATTGTACAAGCTCAAGCTGGGAGAGATAGTGACTACCATCCCCACTATTGGTATGATCTCACACTAATCACTTTTGATGTTTTTTTCTTTATATGAAGGGTGGACGTGTGGGTTTGACATAATTACCTATAATACACTTAGAAATCATGAAACTGTTTATAGGATTTACTGTTTTCCAGTTGTGTTGGCTTTAATGCATGACAACATACCTGATTATGAAATATTGATATGATCATTTAACCAAAACACTTTTGATCGTTCTTAAAAACTTGTATTAAGTGTCGTTGAAGCCTAATATTTTTTATGAAATATTGCTTTGATCTTTTCGTACCTGGTTATGAAATATTGTTATGATCTTTTCGTCTATAATACACTTCAGAAGCCTAATATGCTTAGGACTAACTACTACTCCTGCTTTCTTTTACCATCTTAAATCATCATTGGGTTCATATATAGTTCGTTTTTATTATCACACCCTACTTGACTGCTTTTAGAAATTGATGCATCTGTCATATTAATCAAATACCTGCAGGTTTCAATGTGGAGACTGTTGAGTACAAGAACATTAGCTTCACTGTTTGGGATGTTGGGGGCCAGGACAAGGTATGCTGAAATCTGAATTCTGTCTTGTATTATCAACTGTTGATTTCTTCTACTTCTATATAATAAATAAATTGAAAATCAATTTATGAAGTTATTGAACAATTCTTTTTGCTCTATTTCCATAAAACTGCACCCATTTGCTTACATTGCAATCTGTTGTTCAATGTCCACCCCTTCCCATTTTTGGCAGATCCGTCCACTGTGGAGGCACTATTTCCAGAACACACAAGGTCTCATTTTTGTTGTTGATAGTAATGACAGAGACCGTGTGGTGGAGGCAAGGGATGAGTTGCATAGGATGTTGAATGAAGTAAGATTCCTCTTTTATGCCTGTGGATGATTGCATTTTTTAACCAGAATTACCCTTAAGCTTTCAAAACTGCCTCTGGGTGCATATGGAAGAGATTTATTGAGCTTTTGAAAATCCATCTATTGTTGTCTGTGGCATATAAGAAGTTTTGTCGCACTAACACCTGAAAAAACTGGGGATTTACTTACCTCCATTATTTTTTATGGATCATATCCTTAAATCTTGATTTTTTTAATTTTACAAATAATGTTAGTAGTAATAGTTTTATTATTCATTACGGAGTATTATTTTTAAAATTTAAAAATTATGATGCGGCAAGGAACACATTCTTTTTCTAAAACAAAGAGTTTTCAATGGGTTCTCTCCATCGATGCATACTTTTTTTATTTCTCCATACCAAATCACAAATGCTCAATATTTTGTGAGCGAGCATTTAATGCACAGGTAAAAGATCTCCATGAATGGGTATTTCTTGTTGTATCCCTTGAATCTCTCTCTCTCTCTTGTGCACACACACACACACATATCCTAGTTGTCATGGTGCATGGCGATTGCCATGGCTCAAAGGCATTTTTCATGGTGCATGGTGATTGCCATGGCTCAAAGGCATTTTTCATGGTGCATGGCGATGGCGCATATATGAATGGCGCTATGGCGCGATGGCGCATATGGCACGTGCCATATCTCACCATTGACTACTATGACACACACACACATGTATGGAAGAGTATCAATCCATAGAAACTCAATCTTAACCTGAGCTTATTGTTAGTGGACCAGCCCAGCTTGAAGTACGAAGTTTGTTCAGCTAATGATGTTGTTTCTCTGGTATTGATGCAGGATGAGCTTCGTGATGCTGTGCTGCTTGTGTTTGCTAACAAACAGGATCTTCCAAACGCAATGAATGCTGCTGAGATAACTGATAAGCTTGGCCTTCACTCTCTCAGGCAGCGCCACTGGTATAATAGTTTTCAGACAGATCCCTCCTGACCTAAATAGTTTTATCAATGTCAAGTTAATTATTTTGGTGTTTTTTTGCAGGTACATACAGAGCACCTGTGCAACCTCCGGAGAGGGGCTCTATGAAGGGCTTGATTGGCTCTCCAACAACATCGCCAACAAGGTAATCACTAGAAAGTGATGCTTGGTTAACTGTTTATGGTCTCATACATTAGAATTAGAGAATATTCCACTTTTGGTCCCACAGCTAATGTCTTTCATTTCTCATCCCATTAATCTTATGTCATTTTCCCACTATTTGTGCAACATGCACAATCTCAAATTTTCGCCCCGATGTAAAATGTGGAAACATTGGCCATTTTAAGTGATTGGGAAGACCAAAAGTAGTAAGAAATCCATAGTCGTGCACCAAAAGTGGAAAAAACAATATATGGATACCAAATGAAAACAGCCTTCTGTCATGAGATGATGTAAAGTGAAATATTTTCTTAAAACTTGTGTTTTTTTTGTATGATGTTCCAATATTCTTTAATTTACCCGCAGGCCTAAACCGTTGGAATAGTTGAGTACTCTGGCGCTCTCTCTCGCTCTCTGTCTATTGCTGGATGCAGGCGGCGCATTTATCTGCTTTCTTTCCAAGTCTTGTGTGGTTATCATCATCCCTTTGGGGGTCATTTTGAAGTAGTATAAGAGTTGGATATATGTAATGTCATGTCAGCCATGTCTAGATTTGAATACAATGGTGTATTAATTTGAAAAAGGATTATTGATTTTGTTGTTCACATTAACATGGTTTTTAAGGGATTCCGAAGTTTGTTATCATCCACGTTGTCGGTTGTGCCGAGAATTACCTGTATTTCTGGTCGTGGTTGCACACTTGCACTGTTGCACAGTTGCACACCTTGTTTCCGATGTTATACATTCCGTACATAGTAGAAACAGTACATGTGCGTGGGTTCAGTCTAAATAAGAATCTTTACAGAAATAAAAATCTTTACTCCGGTAAACTTTTTTTTTTGATAAACTTTACACAGTTTATTGCAAAGATTAAGAAATATATCAAAACTTAGTAGGCCGGGGTCTAGTATGACCCCTAGACCCTAGTTACGCTCTATGGCTCTACACTCTTGAGAAAGATTTGATGTCTTAAATTTTGGGTAATCTGTACATAAGAAGGCTGGGTTATTTTTGTGTACACAAATTGTACATTGTCAGTGTACACAGACAAGTAGGTTAGGAGGATTTTGTATACACTTTGAGTAGGTTAGGAGGATTTTGTATACACTTTGTGTAGAATTATGTACACCGAGAATTTTTCTAGTAATAGGCTTATAGGCATGGATAAGGACACAATATTGGATTTAGAATTTCAGGCAGAATAGTCTTGTGGTTAAGGCCTATGGTTTTCTGTCTGCAGCGAAATGACGCCAAAATCTCTAGAGGGTCGGAGGATGACGATCTTTCTTTTGGCATTTGCAGTGACAAAAAGCCGTGGAGCAGAGAACTGTAGATATAGGGAGTAGGGAGTTGTGCAGATTTTTGACCTTGCTCAATATTAGGGGTGGGCGTCGTTTAATCGGGTTTCGGTTAAGCAATTCTTAGTTACTATATTTTTAATACCATAACCCGTACCGTAACTTCGATTAACCGTGTATCGGTTAACCAAAATTTCGGTTAATGAGATGAGATAATCAAAATAGAGAAACACAATATTAATAGAGAATCATAAACTTAATGAATCAACTGAAAACAGAAATAAACTTGGCTTCGTTGGGGCGGAACAAAAAGTGAGAACCCGATGACCCAAGAACTATAGTCTGCTTAGAAGTGACGTATCAAAAATCAAAAAATTAAAATAAGGATAAAATTGTCAGAGGTGAAAATTCGGTGCGTCAAGTACTAACTGGGGTGAGCCAAGCAGGGCCTTTTTAAATTAAGCTACTCCTAAGACTTCAGAAGATTAAACTCCAGACAATACACTCACAATGCACGCTGGAAAACTAGGAAACAATAATCTAAAAACTAGAGTATGTGACTCCAATTCTCCAATACAATGAGAAATAAAAGATCCAATCTTATTGATATTTCAAATTATTACAAGGGCTAAATTTATAGCCCTGACTCCAATAATCTGAAGACCTAACATACATTAAAACCACATATACTCCATTTAATAACATATATGCAAACCACACATATATAGTGATAATCGAAGTAGAACATGGCATATATCCGACCAACATTTGGAATATATAGCAACATCAACCGTCTGGTAACGGACAAAAGTTGTTTAAGCTCTCCTACAAACATCACCATCACAAACCCACCCCTCCTTTGTGTTCTCTTCTGTGGCCTCTGCCTCCCTGTTTTCTTCCAGAGCACATTTAGGGTGGAGGTCAAAATCACAGTCATCACAATAAAATGACCATCCTTGTCCCCCATCATTGCAAGCATCACAATTATACATTCTACGCCTCGTGAGCAAAAGCTCATGCTCTTCATGAAGGGCATGTTTGAGTTTCTCAGGCCACCCCTTTGACATCTCTTCAAGCTCTGCTTCAATCTCCTTCTGACGCTCTTCGGTGAAGGGGTATGCATCAGCACCATGACTCATCACCAAATCTCTAGCTTCGGTTGTTATTGTCCGGCCTGTTTTCCCAATAGCAACTAACATCGGGATTCCGCGAACTTTGAAAAGGCGAGTTAGAATCCCTTTCCTCTCATCGCCAAAGGGAAGGGCCAACCATGGCATCTTTGAAAAGAAGTCATCAAAGGAGGTTTGATCATGGTCACTTGAGATGAAAATCACATCGAATGCGTCATCCTTTGCTTTGATCTTGTGGTATGCTTCTATGAGTTTAGGTAGAAAAGCACGGCAAGGAGGGCACCAATGAGCAGAGAAGTAAATGAGTATATTCTTTCCAACAAGACCAGACACGGGAACCTGTGTAACATTCCCATTACTTGTCAGAATTAGTATATATAAATTGCCATTCCAAAGTATGCCCACACATGGTAAATATGTATTCACATGAATATCCTATGCTGCACAGGAAGTCAGGCACTCTCTTGGACACGTTTTTTAACATATCGAAACGTTATGAAGCAACTCCTGCGATTAAAGAAACCATTTCCCAAACTGTTTCTTTCCGAAAATCGCATTTCTCAAGAATTATATTGGAAATAAAGGACTCCGTATTAAAATCAATTGATGAGTATAAAATGGCAAATGCTAACCTTCCTAATATGGCCTTTAGGACTATATTATTAATGATGATAGGACATTTTATTCAATTATCAAGAAACATTGGGTCTCTCTGTGCTTTAGTACAGGGGTAAGACTGCGTACATCCGACCCCCCCTTACCCCACCGTAGGTGGGAGCCTTTGCGGCACTGGGGTAAATGAAAATGAAAATGATCAAGAAACATTGGCTTTTTGAATGATAATGGGGCTGTTTTGAAATATTTTTATGAAATATTTTTTGTTACAATGCTAAACATGAAGAATATTCTTTGATGATTTGGGTCATTTATGAAACTCATAAACTATTCTAACCATAACCTTGAGGCTTTTCGTAAGCCCGTATCCTATTATAATACTATTCATTCAAAAAATTAATATTTAGAACCTTGTATTTTTGGTCCCAAAAGAGGCATTGTGACAAAAGAAATGCTAATTTATTATATTATTGTACTTTTTCAAAAAGATGTCCCAAACAAGTGAAATACGGAGTATGTTATAAGTAGTTAAACTAACAACTAAAATTTTGAAATCTACTAAAATTAAAAAGGTGTTCCTTGATGAAACAAGACTCTATGAGGTAGGAGAAAATATTTGATACTGAGCATATTATAAATATGAGAGACTAGTGTGTGTGTGTGTGTATGAGTGACATTTGCATAACTGCTCCAAAATGAGTAGTGTCCTGTATTGTATTTCGATAAAAAGAAGTGCTCTGATGAAAATTATATATATTAGACACATCTAAGACAATGTCATGCAATTTTGATCAACAGAAATGAACTTAACTAACTTATTTAGGGGCACTGTGCCACTGTATAATATTCATAAATGAGCCCTTCCTAATATCATTGACCTGATATTTGCAATATCTATAATTAGTTTATATATACCAAGATAAAGTTGTTATACACCATTTCAATACTAATGAGTCAATAGATTAACTTTTATTGGTATACAAATTCATGAATTGCGTAACTATCTAACAGTAGTTCCATGCAGGGATGATTAGTATGACCTATGAAATACAAGTGTCTTAGGTACCTTACCTTTGCTCCATCTTTTCCAATAACAAAATCCGCATCTCCTTTAACCAAAATTGACTCTAGTGTCTGTGATTCTTTTTTAGCCTTCTCAATCTCTTCAAGCTCAGCAAGCCTCTCAGGGGTAAAAGGATAGGCCAGGAATCCATGCTCTTCCATAGTTTCAGCAACATTAGACTGAAGGGTCTTCCCATCTGGACCAATGATGACTAAGGTGGGTAGTGAAGAGATCTCAAAGTACCTCACTAGCTTCTCACAGCTTCTATCTCCTGAAGGAACAGAAAACCATGGTAAGCTTTTAAAAGCTTCCTTGAATGACTCCGCATTCTCATCTAGGGGAATCATCACAATCTCAAAATCTTTATTTTCTTTCAATTTCTGATAAGCTTCAACCAGCTTTTGTGTAAAAGCAGAGGATCCGCTGAATGTTGACAGAAAAAAATACAGGCCAATGGTCTTGCCTACAAGACCATCGATAGGTACCTAATAAAGACAAAATAAATATAAAATCAGCATAGGAATCACTTCATAATAAAATATATAATAAAATAAAGGTCTAAATATGTTTATCATCCATGCACATATGGAGTAGTATTTTTGGTTTTGGGTTGTACCAAATATTTTTTGTTCTTCAACTTGTAGTTTTCGTGTTTTCTTTTTAGTCCCTATCCGAGTTTGCATCAACCTCCATTTACAAAATAACATTGCTGACTGTTCTTCAATCTAGCATTTTCACATTAATTCGGTTTAAATACTTGGTATTTTATTTCCAGGGAGCTGGAGATGCGTAAAACAACATAAGCTTATGGATGAAAAACATAAAAGAAAATCACAAGGAACTAAACCAAAACAAAAAAAAACTGTTTTCTCATGGACAAAACACATACTAGTACTTATTAAAGAATAATTATAGGATCACTTTATTTGATAACCTAAAAAAAGAAGAGCATTTTAAAAGCCGGACCTGCTTCCCATCAGCTGCAATCACATAGTCACGTGACGGAGAAACTAGAATACTTTTCAATGATTGTTCCCTCTTAGCTGCTTCTTCAGCTTCTTTCAGTTCTTTGACCTTCTCTCTAGTAAAAGGGTAACCTTCCACACCATGTTCAACTATAACATCAACACCATCTTCTGTTAATACCTCTCCACTTCCATTTAGGATCACAAGGTGGGGTATCCCCTCTACAGTGAATAAACCATCCAGACGGTCACGAGTAACAGAATCAGAGAATGGGATTGCAGTCCAAGGCATTTCAGAAAAGTATCCCTTGAAAGACTCCTCATCCTCATCGGCAGAAACAAATACGATTTCAAAATCTCCTTTTGAAAGGATTTCATTATACACTTGAATTAACTTTGGGGTAAAACGCCGACAAGGACCACACCATGATGCGGAGAAATACACTCCAACCGTCTTCCCATTCAAGTCCTCAATTTTGACCTGATAAAACCAATAAAGTTTTAAGGATGCAACTCACCGATCTAAGAATCATATTTGGGGGGTAAGGAGTTAGTATAACATTCTCAACAAAATACAGGTAATCTCATTCTGGCCGGGCTACTGCTAACCTGTAATAAAAGAATTGGTTAACCATGTTCTTAGATTTTTCATTCTCAATCACAAACCAAGAAGCTACTAAAGAATAAAGATTCTGACATCTTATCAGCAAAGTTACTAGTCCGTATACCAACAGCAGTAGATCCACTTCACTCTATTGAATTAGTCAATAACAATTAGTCACTACTCACATGTGCAAACACTGCAAATACAGAGTACTTTTTCATCATCATTCATCATCATTATCATCATTATCCCAGTGCCGCAAAGGCTCCCAACATCGGATGTACACAGTCTTACCCCGTACTGAGAGACTGTTTCCGGATGACCCATAGTGAAATTCGCGTCGAAAATTGCATGCACTAACTACTGCTTCATAATAAAGAAGTGCAGACAGTTTAGTGAGACATTTTGCTTT